GGAGAGGTCTACTTAAAAATGTATTTTACAATTCAAAATCATATTCAACTGCTTTAATACCATCAACCATCCACCACCCTCACCCTAGGGCCAGGCTAGAGCTTGAGATCTTCCGCCAGCTGCAGCTTTCCCGACAGCAAGATGGGCTGGAGAGTGACGGGCCAGGGATCGATGGTCCTGATAGGGACAGTGGGCAGTTAACGGCCTCTGGATCCCTGGCTTCTTACGACATCGGAGAGGATAGCGCCCTCTCTTGTACAGACCTGAATGAGGCTGAAACAGGTCGACCAGCCACGGCCTATCGGAAGGATGATGGACAGGTTGCCTTCCCTCAGCCCATGAGGAATCTAGGTTTGTGGAGTGAATGCCTTGATTTTGCATGTCTAGATAGTCGTGGGTGAACTACAATGCCGCTATCACAGATCCATTTTGAATTTTAAAAAGTAGCAAAATAAATATGCATAATTAAAGACAAATTACAATAACCTGTGATTTCAAATTCATTACCATTCAATAGAACTTAATGTAACTTCTATAGATTGAAGATAAAACATCTGTTCAGAGCCATGAGGGCAGTGTACTGAAACTTAGAGTACTTGTGTCTCGGAATAAACGATAGATTTCTGCAATATTTTCTTGATCTTTAATCAAGGAGTTTGTATCTTCAACATGTTACTACATAACTCCAAAACTCTACATGCCTTGGAAATATAATTTCATGATTATAATTGTGTGTATTGATCATTTCACAGGAACTCTGGAAGAACGGAGAGCTAATGGAGTGCAGAGGAATGCAAGCACTGTACAGGCTTGGGGAGATGATTCCACCACCCAGCCGATGGACAAACCCACCGAGGAAGAGCGTCCTCTTGAGACATCAGAAGGCAAGCGCCCATCCAAGAAGAATATCCTTAAGAGGCTACCAAGGCCACATACTGCTGCTGTCTTCCCAATCAGAGACACCGCCCGCCTGTCTGAAGATGGAGACAGGAACCAAAGACCTACAAAGCCAGGGACTATTCAGCATAAGGACTCTAACACATCAAATGCATCATCATCATCATCGGCCTACTCCCGTCGCCAGAGTAGCGATGGCTTGGGCGGTTACATGGGTAGCGATAGCTCACATGCAGACACTAGCTCTTACGGGAGCAGACATTCAGGAGTGGTAGAAGGGACTCAAAGGAGGGGCAGGAATTGGAAAGTGACTCCATTTACGAAGCATGGGTGGGAGGGTGAGGATCTCGGGGAGAGCCAGTCAAGTGAGAGAAGCGGTTGCAGCTCCCATACGGCCAACGAAAAACGAGTTTTTCCGCCAGCTCCATCACGGACGAATTCTCAAGACTCCCAGGCATCGCGCCAAGTTGGGAATGCCAATTTGAACTCCTTTATGAGTAGTGGTGGTGGTAAGAACAAGAGGAGGGGTGGGGATGGTAGACCAAGCATTGATGAGCTGGTATCCGACCATTCTATGAACTCTGATCCCAAAGACCATTACTCCATTGGTCACCACCCCAACCTCACAGTCAGCATGGAGAGTTTCCCTCTACCCAACAGCCTTGAGCACCTTGTGGTCTCAGACAGCAGTGACAACGAGAAGCAGAATGGCCACCCTGCTTCCAGCAGGTCCCGTAAAAGGAGAAAGGGGCACGAGGTGGGCAAAGCCCAATCTTCCAGGCTGAGGAAGACCAAGTCGAGGGGTAAAGGGAAGGGGCGGAGTCGGCTCCAGGACGTCGGGCACGTGAACCAAGGCTATAGCTCGGACAGTCAGGGTGAAGGGCTTGAAGATGATGATATACCTGTGATTGAGATGAGCAAGCACCCACTGCCAGGCCATTTCTGAATCTCATATTCTAAAGAACAGACATGTTGAAAATTTGGTGATTCCATTGTACCCGACTGCTCAGTTGGTAGAGCAGTGGTCTTGTAATCCAGCGACCCTGGTTAGACACCAAGGGGATGTGCTAGTGCCCTTTAGCAAGGCATTAATCCTCATTACCAGGTCTCTCTGAGAGGACCTAAAGCCGTCTGTCCTCTGGTTGCCTACTAACAAGCATTTATGCTCTATCACTAAGCCATAGGGTGGTCATGTGTGACGTCATCGAAAAACTATTTTCAGAATTTCCAAATTTGAACTTCGTTTTCCGAAAGAGCATCAAAAATAATGTCCAAATGTCGAAAACCAATTAAATATGTTCAGTATTGGCTGAGATATGACCATCTGAATAAATAGATTTTGGTAGGAAATCACTGTTATTTTGCCCTGGTTCATAACATTACGAACCAGAGCAAAATAACAATGATTTACCTATCTTTGATAGCTCATTGTGTAGAGCTATATGTACAGTATCAGATAAAGAATGTATTATGGGTAAGTAACCGTAAGTTCAAGGTGTTTCATCCAGTTGTGTCCCTTATGTCACCAAGTATTGTAAAATGCTGAACATTATTGATGTTTTAAAAAAAAAAAAAAATTCTATATTTGGTCTGGCCCAACCTCCAGTCGGACTTTCAACCTATTACGATCATCAGGTATGCTAAAACATCTCATGCAGTTGGTAATGGACAGGACATAATTCATTTGACCTCCCGTGTCGTTTAACATATATGAAGCTTTTAATGAGAATAGTTATTGAAACTTTGCATGTTTTTTTTGTCACGTTCCTCTACCAAATGCACATGGAAAAAATATGTAAAATGAATTGTTATTGTACTTTCCATTTTCTAAGGTTTATTTCACTCTTTGATGTTTTATTTGTAACATTCTGCTGCCAACAGCCTTGGGACCAATTTTCGGATCATTTCACCACATGTATATAAAATGTTACATGTTCTGTGACTGCTCTTGTATTATTATTCGTATCTCATGTGGTTGTACATATGTATATCGGTATTGCTGCCCCCATTTCCATTTATGAACAAAACTATTTTCTACAGAATAAATCCAAAATAATGTTTGAAGAATATTCTTGATTGTTCATTTATTTTCTTTAAATGAATTAAAAAAAACCTATATTTCCATTACAGTTCTTTCACATGTGTGCTAATTCCTATGCAATCATTTTACGTGCTACTTTTTTCAATCAATTATTTTTGAAGAAAAGATTTTTTATATTTTTGTACTATTCTTATATACTTCTATTTTGAAAGATAAAATTATTTTGGGGTAGAATATGCGCATGACTACCTTTGGTAAATGTCAACCATTTGAATCATTGCATATCCATTGTATTCATATTATTGTATTGTGTATTTTATGCCTTTTAAGTATGGTATGTGTAAGTTCCTCATAGAAATTCCACTGTTATGAAGATATTCAAAGAGCAGTAAGCATTTGATTAAAAATGAAAGGTGTTGGAAATTTCCAGCATTCATGTCACTCTAACATTTTTTCTCAAAAGAATTGCACATTAGATAAAATAGATTGAAGTTTTTATCTGCTTTTATCACCATTGGAAATAGATAAGTAATTTTTTATTAATGCAATTTTGTGTAATGCTACTGATCTAAATTGTACTCTAAATTTATTTTGCTATTTTGCTAGGGAAACAAATTAGGGGGTTTGATCGATAAAGTTGAGTTTGTATCTTAGAAAACAAGTTTACTTTATCACACAAAAGTATTATATCCTGATATAAGTGAATGAGAGTTGATAGTGTGTTGTATTTATATTTTGTTTTAATTTTTTTATACAGCATTAAAATTATGCGTATTTGTTAGTAATGGTCTTTGTTAACTTATTAACTATTTAACTTGTCTGAGACAACTGGTAACGCTGCTACCAGAATATTTGTTAATGTTTTACTTTTAAATCTAAATGGTATACAATCAAATAAACTCTTGAATAACAATGCAAGAACATTTTTCAACTTAGCTTAAGAATCTATTTATTTGTGTTAGTCTGTGAGAAGCATCACAATTCAGATCAGAACTGTCAAAAAGCAAGAATTCAACATCTATTATTGACCTATTCTTTCTCTCTCTTATTACATATTCAGTGTTAGATTATGATTTTGCAGCAAATTGAACAATGAGATCAAACACAAAACACAGAGTGCGAGTCACCCGATGCATACAATAGTTTATACAAAAATCCTATTTATCACATCAATGACAATTTTTTCTTGTTTACCGTAAACTTCAGGCTAGTTTGTAGCAGAGGGAAGTTTCTATTTCTTAGGCCTGAACGAGCCTATTCATTATTAGACAAATCTAGGTTATGACTATCTGTTTCAGAGCCACGAATACTACACAACAATCAATAAGGAAGTAAATTTAAACTTATTCTGAATAAACATCAAAGTTAATGATTCAAAGTATTTTTTTTGTAAAATTAAGCTTGACAAAAAAATGACAGACCCTGAACTTTGTCAGGGGAAATGAACTTTTAGTAACACCCTGCATTACATTTAGGTTTGTATTCTACGAAAGTTTAAAACCGAAACTGGGGTTTAGCCTTTGTTCAAAATCGGTTTCAAAAAGGAAGTTGGTCTTCTTCTTTCGTTATACAGGGTTTAAGTGAATTAGTAGAATACGAACCGGCTTCGAGTTTGGAAGCCTGCATATGATTGCTTATGGATGTTGCACATACAAACCAAACTCAAGAGGAGTATTAAGTTCTTAATCTTAAGCCTATACGATAAAAATACAATTAGAAAAAATCTCTGAACACAATAAACTAGCAAGTATAACATGTTTAAAGTTGACATGTTTTTTCAACAAGCGAATACAAATTCAGAAAGAAAAGAAAGTGGAAAAAAGCATAAGATTGTAAGCTATAGACATCTTGTAAAACTTTGAAATATATTACTATCCATGAAATAGCTGAGCGAACAAGGCAATATTTGTTATATTTATTTTCCTGATTTGATATTGGCGTAGGGTAAAATAATCGGTATTATCAAAACCGCGTTTATAAGAATCACAAAAATCAAGAATTTGTTGATTTAAAAAAAGAATGCTTAAAAATACAACATTCCCGAGTCGTATAAACCTTATTCTTAGATTGAACAACTATAGTTGGAAAGGGTGATCTAGAAGAAAACTGATCTTGTCCTTAGTATTATGGTATCTCTTTTACGTCAGATTTGCCCTCCCCGTCAATAGCGAATACCGATGGGTTTCCTTCACCGCGTGGGGTACCCTTTATCCAGAACAGATCCTTCAGAGCTTTCCTGAATCTGGGCATTCTGGCAGCGTAGATAAAAGGGTTCACACAGGAGTTGGCGAAGGCAAGGATGACAAAACATCGGTACAGAGGACTGAAGAGGTGGGTGAACGGGACGATGCCAAGGTTGAAGACCAAGAATCCAAACTGATCAGGTGTCCAACAGATGATGAAAGTGATGACGACGATGAGGAGCGTTTGGAGGACACGACTCTGAACCTGACGGAGTGCCGAAACTTGCCGTTGACGAAGGCTGTAGATGGTCCAAGCGTGCGATGTCACCATGATGACGACAGGCATGACATACTTAAGAATGAATAAGCAAACACCAAGGAATCGGTGAAAGGCCACAGGCAAGGAGAGTACGCACTGCCTGTCTTCTGTTACGAAGAGGGCGTAGAGACTTCCAATGTTGATTATAAAGGCTGCGATCCAGATGACAATGACTGCGATTGAGGTGCGCTTTGGAGAGAAGAGACGTTGGAACCAGATTGGAAATCGTACAGCCATCAACCTCTCGATCGATATGGTTGTCAGGGTGAAGATGGATGCGCAAATGGATATCCACATCAAGACAGATGAATGGATAATCCGACAGTAGAGCTCGCCTCCAACCGTGTCCGGAAGTTGGATGACTTTACGATGTGGTATGATGAAGATGGATGTTAGGAAATCGGCCATGGCTAAAGCACCGATCAAGATGTCGGTGGCACAGCGTCGACGTCCTGGCCAAAAGATCACGAGCATCACCAGTAAGTTTCCTAGGATACCGATGATGGCCAGGACCAACTGGACGATCACCCACCACTCCCACGAAACAGGTGCCCACACCCATGCATCATTCCTTGAGATGTTCTGCCAATCGGCGTCCATTACTACCCCAGACATTTTCGTTTAGAAGTGATGTCCAAAGACCTTTTCGGTGTTTCTTGAGATGTTTTGAAATCTTCAAAATATCAGAGAAATCTTCCTAGAAGGGCGAAAAAACAGTAAAGAGCATTGAAAACCGATATGCATTTAATCGGGTTTTGCGAAGTAACTTTAAAAAAAGTCCTCACTCTTAAAATCAAGACATACGCGCTCCGACAAAGGATAAACAAATTCAATTAGTATTAAGATTCGTGCAGTTATTTGATCGACATCTCAACATTAGAATGATCGAGTTATTAATGACTATAACAGCAACTAAAGAGCAAAAAATATGAAATCTACGACAAAATTGACAGTTCTCTATCAAACGCGATTGCAAAGAAAGTCGAAAAAATTAAGCTATGACAATTCCAAAAGCCTTGAAATTCGCGAACTGTATAAATACGTATCACATAATCAGAACTTAAAACATTAATTATAGTGACATATGGTGTACAATTCACCCTAAAGTTGATTTCACGAAAGTCCATGAGCTTGTATTATCCGTTATTTCATTTTGCAAATGTTTTTGTAGAAATTTCAGACACTCACCTATTCTTGATGGACAATTTACTTCTTTGCTTTCCTTGACTAAATTAAAACAACTCGACTCTAGCCAAATGGACTAAAAATTATTACTGGTTGTGCACTTTTAGATAACGGAACATAATTTAGATACTTTCACACGTACATATAATACAAACAGTGACAATAGAATGTGGAAACGCTCGAATCACAGCACAAATAAATTTAATTGCTACCTTCCAGAGAAGTAGGAAGGAAACAAAGTACAGAGTTTCGAGAGTTTTGAGACTAACCCCACCCCCGAGTGGAAGTCATATAGCTAGCGGACCAATACAAAAACCTGATTTCACTCGGAGCTCGATTCTATTATTTCATCATAATAGAAGACGGCGTGGCGTGGCCGTTAGACGGAACCCTCGACCTTCGCGTGGTCTGGAGTTGGAGTTGACATTGCGTTGACTTTAAAATACGGAAGGTGTATTTCACAATTTGCTCAACCTCTCGAACTGTCTAAACTGTTGCTCGCTGATATTTCTCCAAAGTCCAAATCTTGAAGTATGTTGTATACTGGATATTTGAAGCACTGATGATTATTAAAGATGTATTAGCAGGAGAAGGGTTTCGGATGAGGAGGTTCCAGGTGGGGGTTTCCAAGTGAGGGGGTTCCAAGTGGGGTTTTCCAAGTGAGGGGGTTCCAAGTGAGGATTTCATGCAGGGGATGGGGGTTTTATACCTAATTACATATTCACAATCTCGATTCTGAGATCTCCTCCTACAAAATATTCTTACCCTAAACTTAACTATTTGATTATTATTACTGTAGGTGACTGGGCGGGCATAATACTTGATGGACGCTCAAACAGTGTTCCTGAACCATTAATCCTAACATTCTAATTGGGCAAAAGTAAAAATAAGGGGAAGGAGTAGAAAATACAAATGCTCATTGGTCAGTTGGGATATTCCTGCTACTACTTCTTTGATGACTCAGCTCCTTATACCAAGAAAACAAATGTCTTGTCTTCCAGCTCAAACTGGTATTCAGAGGGATAATTTATTTGCCTGTTTATAATCAGTCAACACAAACACTGGTTGAATATGGGCTTTGTCTACTGAAAGTCTTTCTCTACAAATATCCTATTCTTGGAATCTTTGGACCAGTGGAAAATGACCAGGTATCATCTCACTGTAGTTCGCTGACCTCAAGTAGGAAGAAAGATGGTGAAATAGGAGAGGGAAAGAGAAAGAGAGAGAGAGAGAGAGGGTATCGTCTCACTGTAGTTTGCTGACCTCCAGTAGAGAGGATGATGCAATAAGAGAGAGAGAGAGATGCAATAAAAGAGAAAGGGGGGTTACCTGGTTTAAAGGGAGATATCTCTACTTCGCTACATATGTGTAATTGTGTATGTATTCAACTTTAATGACAGCAGTGTAACACATTTGCAAATTGCTCGTTTTATTCTCAAATAACTGGTATTTTGTTTAAAGTCTTGTCAGAGCCAAATACCTGGCCTTTTCACTATTGAACAAATTTATTTGAATTTTGCAATAAAATGGTTTTGTTATCACATGCTGACCAGTGACCATATGATATATTTTAAAGAAAAATGAAACAAAACAATAACAAATAAATCATCTGTCATCTGTAAATGTGTTACACTGCCCTCCACGCCCTAGCTTAGGAATTGGCACGAATGTATTTTCTCCTTCTTCTTTCTTTTCTCTCTTCTTTCAAAGTCGCCGTTGCGTTATAGCTTTTTATCCTGAGATAATTTATTGTCTCAATTATATCCATCCAGGCATTTCTACGCTGGAGCACTTCTCATGTTGATTACAGTGTCCGTGTGTAGGGCGTGTATAGGTATATTGTGCGTGTGTGTGTGTATGTATATATATATATATATATATATATATCTTTCTCTCTCTTCCTCTATCTTTTTATTCTTTTCCTCTCCTTCTCTCCCCCTCTCTAAATTGTGTACGGAGGAACTTTATTTCTTACGGTTTTGTGTATTTTCTCGTACTCTGAACGGAACTCTTGATACATATATATTATCTCACTTCGTTTCTCTCCTCTGTCATTCCTTCTTTCCTCTCTCCCCCTCTCTCTGTCTTTTTTTAAATTTTTTTTTTTCTCTCTCTATCCCTCACTATTTCTCCCTTTCTTTCTCTCGCTGTTTATGTTTTTCAAGATTCAAGATTTAAGATTTAAGATAATTTATTTTCATGTTAAAAATACGTAAAATTTGTTTTTGGACATTTGAAGGTGCATACATGTAAATAAATATATACATACAAACAAACTAATGACATTTTAACATAACATTAAATAATCATAAATCATCTCAACTTTAAGTAGGTTGCATTAAAAGAAATAGATTATACTGAAGGAGGCAGTTCAATTTAAAAAGCTTGTTTTGAGCTCGTCCATCCAGGCACTTCCACGCTAAGACTACTTCACGCATCAACACACACTCACACGCGCGCACAATCACGAATACACATGACACATCCTACACACGCATACACACTTTTTTTTTTAAACAATTTTGTTTTATTTCTCCAAATGAGTAATACAAACCATAACATACAATTGAATAAAATAAACGTGTTCAATATTGATGCTTTTACATAAAAATAATTAAACACAAACTTATTTGCAGTATAATATAACTTAGCAACAAAGTAAACGTATAAGTACCTAAACATAATATGTCAATTGTATGTTATTCACTTATATATTACAAAAAAAACTTAAACAAATCTGGAGTAATTTTACTGGAACAATCCTGCCCCCTCCCTGCCCCCTCCCTGCCCCCTCCCTGCCCCCTCCATCACACAAACATAATCACCCACCCACACAAATACTCACCCTCCCACCCACCCCCCCCCCACACACACTACTCACTCAGTGGATGTCTGCCAACATTCTCAACTCAAGAAAAATATACTAAATAAGTTATCCAGGCCGCAAAATAGAGTTACGCTTTTAACAGGCTCACGGTGGAGAAGAAAACAAATCTTAATTAATCTTAAGCTGCTCCCACTTTAAGAAATGTGATCCCAGCTTTCCCATTTTAATTGCTATTTTCTTTCCTCATCCCTATACTTAGAAATGCTTTTTTTCATCTTTTCTAAAGTTAGTACTCGCCCCCCCCCCGATCTTGACATAAATGTAACATACTTCACCATGAAAATGATAGTATTACACATTTTTATTCTATATGAACTACCTACCAACCCAACAAATATATCTCGCCATTCAAAATCTTTAATTTCATCTAACTCAAAAAGTTGTATTAAAGCCTGCCATATACTTTGAACGCTCCCGCAAGATAAAAATAAACGTTTGTATGTTTCTATTTCCTGCTTACAAAACGAACATAAATTATCACCAACAAAACCAAATCTATGAAGATGCTCATTAGTGTATATGGCTCCATGCAATAATTTAAATTTAAATTCACGTTGTTTTCTTATGAGTATAGTAATTCTTGGTCTAACAAATATTTCTTTTAATTCTTTATCTATAAAATCATAATCATTTTGCCCATCCCTTACCTGCAAATCATACGTTTGTTGCAGTGCTTTGATAAAATAATCATAAATTGTTCTTGAACCCACATCCACAAACTGTATTTTTTTACTAGAAATATGGAAATAAGTATTAAAGCTTATCAAATCAACCTCGAGGAATTGTATTAACCCTGAATCATCCTTCCATAACCTGGGTATCGCATCATAAATATCAAAAATCATAAGCAAATTATTACCTTTCATACCGAGGTTCATAAAATATTTAACAGACTTAACATGACCTTTCTCAACCAAATGATTCAGTTGAACAATCCCTCTTTCAAACAAGTATCTATCAAATATTCTTGTTTCATTTATACATATATTCCGATAATTAAAAATAATTGGATTAACATAACCCTCCAAATATCTTAAATTACTTATCTCTTGCCATGCTTGCAACATTTCCATATAGTATGGTGGAATATCTAAAACGAGTTTAATCTTTTTTAAATCATAATCACATAAAAAAATAAATCTACCGCCCACAAACTGTAAGCAATGATCAAAAAACAATTTCCATCCCAAACTCTTCTCTCCATATAAAAGACGTTTTATCCACATTATGCGCTGTATTTTAACGGACATTTCAAAATTAATCATTCTTAATCCTCCAAAGTCATAATCCTGATACATTATTGCCCGTTTAATTCTATCTTTCCCCCTCCATATAAATTCAAATGAAATTTTTGCAACTTCTTTGTATACCCAATGAGGGACAATAACGAGAGATGAAATATAATTTAATTTTGAAAGCGCATAAGTTTTTAGCAAATGTATTTTACCCATAATAGTTAAATCTCTTTGTTTTCACCATACAAGCAATTTTTTTTATTTTACTTAGAATTTCTTTATAATTCAAATCATCTTTTAATCTTCGATCTAATGAATAACTAACCCCTAAAATGTGTATTTCCTTAACCAAATTTCCAAATAAAGGCCCATCAGGTTTGTTCTCATCCTCACCCATTCACATAAAATGTGTCTTTGTT